TTATTTTCTTATTATAAAGTACTCATACTACCTGCGAAGTGGCATAGAATTACTTGAAAGTGGACTTGGATTAGTTATAAATGTATATTGTAAAATCTAAAGCAATCACTAAAAAAAGTAATAAAAAAAGATAGCTATATGCTAAGAATAGAGAGAAGATGGAATCATGTAAAATGCCCAATTAAAACTAAAAAAGGTAGAAAAAGAGTAGATGACAAAAATGGAAACAAACAACAAGGCAACAAACAGAAAACAGTAACAGTACAAATATGGGAGATGTTAATGTAACTATACCAACAATCATTTTGAACATCAGTGGTCTAAATGCACCAAATAAAAAAGATTGAACAGAGTGGATTAAAAAACAACACCCAACTATATGGTGTCTATAAGGAACCCACTTTAAATATAAAGTAAATGGGTGGAGAATTATGTACCTAAAACTCAAAAGAAAGGAGAAATCGCCACATTAATTTCAGACAGAGCAGACTTCAGGGCAAGGAAAATTATTAGGAATAAAGAAAGGCATTACATAATAATAAAGGGGTCAATTCTCCAAAAAAGCCATATAGTATGCACCTAAAAACACCTAGAAATGTATATGCTTCTAACAACAGAGCTTCAAATTACACGAGGCAAAAAGTGATAAAACTGCAAGTAGAAGCAGATGAATGTACTATTACAGCTAAAGACTTCAACACCCCTCTATCAAAAATGAACAGATCCAGTAGGCAGAACATCAGTAAAGACAGAGGTGAACTCCACAACACCATCAACTAATTGAATATAATTGACATCTATAAACTATTTCACACAACAACAGCAGAAAACACATTCTTCTCAAGCTCAGATTATTCACCAAGATAGACCACATTCTGAGCCATAAAACATAATAACAAATTTAAAAGAACAGAAATCATATAATGTCTGCTCTTAGACCACAATGGAATTAAACTAGAAAGATAACTGGAAAATCCCCAAATACTTGAAGATAAAACAACACATGGATCAAAGAAGAAATCTCGAGAAAATTTAAAGTATTTTGTACTACATGAAAATAAAAACAGAACTTATCAAAATTTGTGGATGCAATGAAAACAGTGCTTGAAGAGGAATTTATAGTATTGAATGCATATATTAGGAAAGAAAAATATCTAAAATCAGTAATCTAAGTTTCCACCTTAGAAAATTAAAAAATGAGCAAATTAAATCCAAAGCAGAAAAGAAATGATAAAAATGAGAGCAGAAATCAATGAAATATTGAAAATCAACAGAAAAAAAAATCAGTGAAACCAAAGCTGGTTCTTTGAAAATATTAGTAAAATTGATAAGCCTCTAGCCAGGCTAACTAAGGAAAAAAGAAGGAGCGCACAAATAACTAATACCAGAAATGAAAGAGGGTCACTACGTATCCCAGGGACCTTAAAAGGATAATAAAGGAATACTATTAACAACTCTGTGCCCACAAATTGAATAACCTAGATGAAACAGACCAATTCCTTGAAGGCCACAATCTGCCAAAACTCAAACAAAAAGAAATGGACAATATGAATGTCTTATCTATTAAAGAAATTAAATCAATAATTAATAACCTCCTCAAACAGAAAGCACAGGTACAGATGGCTTCACTTGATGAATTCTACAAACATTTAAGGAAGAAATTATACCAGTTCTCTACAATTTCTTCCAGAAGACAGAAGCAGAGGAAATACTCCTTAACTCATTCTATGATATCAGCGTTATCCTAAGACCAAAACCATACAAAGACATTACATGGTAGATACATGTCATTGTATATTTGTCAAACCCACAGAATGTACAACAACAAGAGTGGACCATATTGTAACCCATGGATTTTGGGTGATAATGATGTGTCAGTGTACATCCAACAATCAACAAATGTACCACTCTGGTGGGGGATGTTGATAATGAAGGAAGCTATGCACATGTGAGGGCAGGTGATATTCCTCTGTATCTTCCTCTCAATTTTGCTGTGAACCTAAAACTGCTCTAAAAAACAAGGCCTCTTAAAATTAGGGGAAAAAGCAAATTGAAGATCTTCCTATCTCACTTCAGGATTCTAGACATGTGCCAGGAGACTTACTACTCCTCTTACAACAGCACTGCAAATAAAACAATATTTACTAAAAAGAAAAAAGAAGTAGAGTGGTTTGTTGAGATACAGTACAAGAGATTATGAGATGGAGAAGTGAAGACAGGCAGGCTATTACTATAAAGCATTTAAGGTGGGAGAGAAGAGAGAAAAAACAATCTAACAGCCTATGGAGGTAATTATCCCCTTTGCACATTTTCAAATCAAATAAACTGAAAAACAAAGGATGAAGATAGTCACTAATGGAGAGAAGAAAGAGACACAAATAAATGGTTATACAGAGATGTATCTCTAAACAATGATAACCAAAAAGAAACGCTTAATAAGTTTTATGGCTCTACTTATTAGGGACAATTTAGAGAATAATAACTGATGTAGAAGTACTGCCTAATAAGCCTCAATAATAGATGGTTTAGTTTACAAGTGACTAAAACATTCAAATACATTTGTAAAAACTAAGTAAAATTGAAGAGTCCAGCTTGATTCAATAGAGAATTACAGATTGCACCCAGAATATTTCAGAGAGCTTTGAAAAGAGAGTAATATGATGTAGTGTGGTGAAGGGCACTCAGAAGAAAATATATAGTTAGAGCATGGTGTTGTTATAAAACCAAGGTCAAGGGTTCGCCAAAAAAAAAAAAAAGAAGAAGAAAATATGGGGTAAAATGCTAAGGCCTTCACACTTTAGGGCCAATGAGAAAGGAACATACTAGTAATGAGAGTTTTGCATGAGCTGAGGAAATCTAGGTGTGTTAAGTACAGGAAAGACTGCACAAAAGAGAACTGAGGGAATCTCAGAAAGGGAATTATGTCAATTTTGAGAAGGGGGATTAATTTATTAAAAGGAGCAATACTCGGGTTCAGGCTAAATTCATAATAAAATATCTTTTTATCTTGTAAAGAACCAAATCCTTACATCAGCTATTAAAACTTGAACACCAGCTTAAAAACAACCAAGCCTATAAAGGTTTGACATTTGGTTATATACCTTTTCCTTAAACACTAGGCCTTTTCATTGGTGTCATACAGTAAGAAGTCATTATGCCAACAGTAAGGCAAGAGCAGCTCAGCCCCATAAAAATGTTCTCAAAAGAGTCTGGATTTCAAAGCACCCTCAACAAAAAGAAGTTGTAGTTGTAAGGTATAATATGCAGCAGGCATAAGTTAAGAAGCCAAAAGAAGAGACAGAGTCAAGGGCTTTCTCATTGAAATATAAACCAGAGTATTAAAAACCTATTTATTTTTGGAAAATAAAGCGTTCTGAGAAATAGCATGCCATATGGTTACAAGCAGGTAGGAAAAACATTTTAGATAATAATATGAAAAGTTAACAGACAAAAGGAAAGGAGAGAGCTAGCACCCAAGGGTCTTCAAGTCATTCATAAAAGGTAGTAAACTGATCTTCAAGCTTTATAACATAGAATCCTGAGTAAACCATGGCCAAAACAGGATGGAGAACCTCCTGAAGAAACTGCAGAGCTGTATCCTGCCTCACCCAGAAGCATCTCCGCAGGGCCTAGTAGGAGAAAGACAGGTGAAGTGGCACTGTCCAGGCCAGGCTGATACTAACATACCCATTATGGGCTTGGCTGAGAGTAGAACAGATATCCTGAGATCTGTGCAACCCAGGAAGAGGTAGCTCCAAATGCACCTGTTTGTGGTCTCTACATCACTGAATCAAGAACAACTCAAGAGAAATAGAGAGAAGGGAGGAAAGATGAGATAAAGAGAGAGCCATCTTTTTCTCCATTCTTCCTTCTCCGATTATTTATTTTTTTAGTAGTGACAATGGATGTTGATCTATCCACTGACTTCTTGATTTACCATGTTGTGGGAAAGCTAAGTTTGAGCTATAAATGACTATTAAACAGTTCTATAATTTTATTAGCATCGTGATCTAATCAACTGAGCCAACTGGTAAAGAAACTTGAGAAATTGGAAAGCTTAGGGCAAAGGGCAATGATCATGCCTATTTAATTTTGTTTCAGATCAAACATTAAAATATCAGTAATATCAGAGTATGTCATTAAACTAAGAACACAAAGATGAACACAAATCTAGTGTTTTACAACACTGGATTGATGGCAGAAAAAAAATGATGTCCTTATAGTAAAAATATAGGGACCCAAGAGTAAAATGGACCTCAAAAATGACAACAGAACCAGAAAGAGGTTATTCTGTGAAACTGAAGTTAATGACAATCAACACAAAACAAATACTGTTATTTTTAACATATCCTTCAGGGTGATTTGAAGGCAGACTCCTTAATGTGATTAAAGCATGTTTAACATTGGTTGTTTAAAAAAAAGGCATTTGAGTCTTCTCTTCTAGCCATTTGAGAACATACAATAAATTGTTGTTAATTATAGATGGCTAGGACTACTGTATACCACTAGAACTATTTTTCCTATCTAGTTCAGCTCAAATGTTCTCATCACAAAGAAATGATAAATTTTTTGTGATGATGAATATGCTAACTACCCTGATTTAACCATTACACATTATATACATGTATTAAAATATAACTCTATATCCCATAAATATGTACAATACATTTCAATTAAAAAGTAAAATCCTTAAAGAAAAAAACAAGGGAAATTTACTACAGCAGACTTTGGCAACACTTTCTAAAGCAGTGGAATATTTCTGCTAATTCGCTTCCTCTCATCTTTACCATGAAAAGAAATTCCAAGGTCAAATTATTTTAAGCAATCACACATTTCTATCTCTACTATCTAGTGACAAAATTTCCAAGAGAAAAAATGCTCAGCATATTTATACCTAGCTGACACCAGACTATTCAGCTAGCAGTTAATCAAGGTTCAGAAAGATAACAATAATTATTACCATACAAATTGTATACTACATATCATACAAAGCAGCTTACCTTGTAGTTTTTTCAAAACAGCAAACTCCATTTTCAGAACTTGTTTTGGTTGTTGAGCTGATTCCACCTTCAGTGCCACATTTTCCCTGGTGACCATGTCCAAGGCATCGTAAATTTCTCCAAAGCCTCCACCCCCAATCTTTCTCAACTGCACAGAAAATAAGAACACACACACTCAAAATTACCAGAAGATTCTAATTGGAAAGCAATTCTTCTCTTATATTTAGAAAATAAAATATAATTTTACTATCTTTATTTTATGATGAAATATTTCAATATTGTTAAATTAACTGTCTATGCCAAGAAGAAAACAAATGCCTGGAAATAACATTAAAACTTTTTCCAGCAGGTTTGTCCACAAAAAGTAATGAAATTATTTCAGCAACAAACAATTTTAAAACTTAGTCTACAGCCAGCATCAAAAATGTCACAAAAAATACAATATCTGAAAGAATCACTTTCCACAAATGCCATTCAATAACCAGATTTGTTGTTTTAATTCTAAGGCAGCCTTTGCTGGCAGTCTTTTTCAACCATGAAATCCTTATGCCAATTGAAATTCTATTTGGAACCAATCTGAGAGGATGTGGAAAGGAGAGTGGAGCCAAAGAGAATTTACCCTCCTCTCTGAGGCAATTAACAGGTCACAGAGCAGGCAGACAGCTCCTGTTCTAAACTATCTCAAGTTCATTATACAACTATATGTTCAAATAACAGTAAACTCTAATCAATTTAAGCACTTTCATCAAACATTTAATATTCTTCCTCATAAAACATGCTAGCTTAACTGAAGAACATCAGGATCTTTGGGTATTATAAGCAAATTTTGAAGGGCTAGTGACAACTGGACCTGTAGGGCTCTGAAAAACTGGGGTGAGTGTGGGTGGGTGATATACTTCAAGCTAGTTACATCAAGAAATTAGCTCTCTTCTTTTTTCCTGAAACTAGGTCTTCCTCTCCTTAACATATTATCAAACATCTAGGATGTGATATAACGTAGCAAATCATCACAGGCCTACAGGGTCCTAAATCCTAACCATCCAAGAGGCCTAGCTTATGTTCTATTTCTTTCTCTACTGGATCTTCACTGATTACCACATCTAGGCTAATTTCTTTATCCTCTGAATTTCTATGATAATTATTTGTTTAATCATTCAATTAATCATCTTACTAGGCAATACCTCAGATATCACTTGTATTATACAGCTTTTTAACTCTTATGCTGCTTAACTTTCCAGTCAATATCCTACCCCACTACAGAGAAACTTAGCTTCTTCAAAGAATGAGTGACTTGTTCTATTTCTTTGTGTCCCCCGTAGCATTTGGCAAAGTGCTAACTATATAATTATTGCTTAAGAACTATTTATTGCTTTGTGTATATGAGCCATAATCCTTCTTTATTTTCGTTTGGTGATAAAAAGGGAATACTATGAGGAAGTAAAGGAAGAGTTTGGGATTTAAAAAAAAGTTCCAGGGCCGGCCCTGTGGCTCACTCGGGAGAGTGCGGTGCTGATAACACTAAGGCCACGGGTTCGGATCCCACATAGGGATGGCCGGTTGGCTCACTGGGTGAACGTGGTGCTGACAGCACCAAGTCAAGGGTTAAGATCCCCTTACCAGTCATCTTTTAAAAAAAAAAGTTCCAGAAATATTCAGTTAAATAAGTTACTCTTTTTTGGGCCTGATTGGTCCTTACGATTCTTTATATTTTGTCCATTAACACACAGCCTAGTGTAACTTTAAAAATTCATCAATAGTACCAAAGGGATATCCTTCTAATTATGGACTAATGAGAAGTGGCTTCATGTTTTACCTCACAAAAAACTTACTAAATGACAGAACAAAAAATATAGGCTGAAGTGAATGTTTTTGCTCCTTAGTTTATTCCTGTAATGCCATTTGAACATTAGTAGAGCATTAAGTTTTTTATTGGCTTAACAAAGACCTAAGACATTACCAATGCTTATGAGGGAAAAAGTCAGAGGCAGTTTAGTATGATAGGGCTACACAAATTGAGAAAGAATAGAGGTAAGACCTGTGGCAGATTGTACTTTCCAAAGATGGCCACAACCCTGGGGGATCCAAGGCATGGAGCCAGGGACCAGACCCCCTCCCACAACCAGGCACACTGCGCCAGGGCCTTGGGCCCACCTGGGGACCTGAGTCATGGAAAAGGGGATTGGAACAGCCCCCCGCCCACAACCAGGCACACCACCAGCACCTCAGGGCCCACCCAGGGATCCAAGGTATGGATCCGGGGACCAGACACTCCCCACAACCAGGCACATTGCCAGCACAAAGGAGGATGCCAAAAACATCACTTCCATGTGGGTGGCCCACCACAGCCACCACTATAACCATGGCTGCCACGAAAGCAGCTAGATGCCACAACCACCACACAGATGGTCTGCTAGCCACTGGAGTGCATTGACACAAGGAGAATCACCAGCAGAGATAGAAAAGAAGAGGACGTCTCTCTCCACAAAGCCCATTTCAGAGTGACAGAAGAAGCATCTGCTCTATTATAATACTGGGGGACCTGATCACACCTCTCAGCATTGGACAGATCATCTAGGCAACAAATCAACAGAGTAACCATTATTCTTTCAGAAAGAGAGAAGAAATAAATGTAGGGTAATGGGGAGGGGGGGAGAAACTGGACAAGGGGCCTAAAGAATAATTACGATTTATAACAATACATATGCTAGTAATATTGATTTGATCAACATATCTCAATGTTGAACCCCAAAAATTTGTATAACCAATTTTGATTCAATAAAAATTAAAAAAAAACAAAAACAGAAATGGCTACAACAATATCACCCATCCTTGCTCCTCTTTAATGTGAAGAAAACCCGCCACACTGAAGAAGGAAATATGACCTTGCTACTACCCCATCAAGAGGTAGAGTCCACTTTCTTTTTTCTTTTTTTCCTCTTTTTTTTGTCTTTTTTCGTGACCGGTAACGGGATCGCAATCCTCGGTGTCGCGCCCGCACCGCGCTCAACCAGTGAGCGGACCGGTCTCTATATGGGAACCGAACCCTCGGCGGGAGCACCGCCGCACTCCCAAGCGCCGCACTCTACCGAGTGCGCCACCGGGCTGGCCCTAGAGTCCACTTTCTCTTTTGTTTAAATCTGGGTGAATCTTGTGACCGCTTTAACCAACAGAACATGGCAAAGTCACACTATGACAGTTCTGAGGACAGCTCTAGTATCTTCCATTTCTTTTCTCTTCAAAGCCAGCCACCATGGAAAATGTGTGGCCATCCTGAGAAGCCATAACCATATGGAGATGCCCTAGAAAATCAGCCACCAGTGTTGGAGGTGGTAGGGAGAGCTAAAGTGCCCTAAGGTATAAGACAAATAAGTGAAGAAGCCATTTGGAAGTGGATTCTCCAAACCAACCAATCCTGCAAGTGCCACATGGCTAAGAGACAAATCACCCAGGTGAATTCTTCTCAAATTCCTAATCCACAAAATTGTGAGCAAAATAAAATGATGTATTAAGCCTCTAAATTTTGATGGTTTGTTACATAATAGATAACTAAAACACCATCCTTAACACTGAGCCTGTGATTTCTTACTAAAAATGCCACTATTAAGTGCGGTGTTGATAACACCAATGTCAAGGGTTTGAATTCCCTCACTGGCCAGCCGTCAAAAAAAAAAAAAAAAAAAAGCCACTATGCTTCCCAAATTTGGGGATAAGTTCCATAAATACATTAACACTAATTATTAGGAAAGGAGAACCACGCCAGGCAGAGGTTTATCTGTCACCTTTGGATATGTCTACTGGAGAACGGCCAACCCTTATCATAGTACTTAGTATAATGCTCCCACCAAAGCAGCACTGGTGTCTGACTTATGTAAAAGATTACCAACTGTTGGGATCATTTAGTATCAGCCATTAAAAGATTATTAGGATCACGTCAAAAGAACTCAGGAGACAACCTGAAGGATGTCTCCCCTTAGTCAAAGTAGACAATTTGAACATCTATAAGGCCAATAACTACAATGAACTAAAACGTATCAAATATGTTTATATCCATGAATTCTTAATAATATTAAAAAACAAATCTCATTGATCACTTTTGGAGGATGCTAGGAAACCAATTCATTATTTTAAAAACTGGTAAATTAAAAAAAACAAGCAAGCATTTATCTTGCTTTCCTAATTAAACTGTATCTCAGGACAATCAAATAGTTGATGACAGGTAATTTCTTTTTATAAATATATTTCAACTAATAAATGAAAGAATGATACAACATCACCAATTTGCAATCCCTAACGAATTAATAGACCTAGGCAATGATCATCAATAGCTGCTAACACCACAAAAAAAAATGGAAAATAATACATTATATGCCTCCTAGTGAAAGCTCACAATATCATTTATGGAAAAAAAAAAAAAGCCCCCACTTCAAAAAACAAACTTGAACACAGATCTAAGCAAGCCTCTAGCTATAACTACCAATTTACATGAAATACATAAGACAGGGAAGAATGTTAACACCACATTAAAGCAATCAGCAAAATTTAAACCATGAGAAGTTCTACCAACAAATCACCTAATTTCTTCAGTAAATAAATTATAAAGAAAAAAATATTGATGAAGAGAAATCTAGAAATTAAAAGAAACATAAGTGATGTCAAACAACTGCAACATCCAGACCATATTTGGATATTGATTCAAACTGTTAAAAATTTACAAAACAACCAGAGAAATGTGGAAATTGAAAGAATATTAAATGATATCAAGAAATTACTACTTTTTTAGGTGTGATAATATTATGATTACATTTTTTAAAAAGAAATCTTTACCTTTTAGAGACAGACAACGAAGTATGTACAGAAGAAATGCTAAGGTTAAAGATCACTTCAAGATATTATGGGAGTGATATGAAAGAGATGAAATAAGATTAACCATAATTGTTGACTGTTTAAGCTGGGTCATGAGTACATGGAGGTTCATTATATCCATCTATTTTTATGTACACGTACAATTTTCCTTAATAAAAAGTTAAAAAATAAAGAACGAGTAGTTCACTGTACTTTCAAACATTATATTTTTTGTATTTGTTCTTTCCCTAAGTACATTTATTTACCTTACTCAATATTAGGTATTGAAACTTAGGATAATTTATTACTATATGAAACAAGAGAAGGAATTAGGGCATAAACAATCATAAGAAAATATCAGAAAATAACTGCTTTAGGCATATAAGAAATGAATGTATTATTTCCTGTAGTGGATTGAATTATGTCACCCCAAAACTCCCTGAAGCTTGAATTGTGTCCCCCAAGTTTTATGTGTTAGAAACTTAGGCCCCACTGTAACTGTTAAGAGGGTGAGATATCCTATTATGGTAATTGAAAGATGGAGCCTTGAATAAGTGATTTAATTGTAGGACTGTGCAGTAGTGAATGGATTAAAGATGGTGGTCAGGGGCGTGGTTCTGAGGGCTTCAAAAGAAGAGAGTCTGCCTTTTGCTCTCTCTGCTCCCACCGTCTTGCAATGAGGGACCCCTGGGTCACTGTCACCACCACCAGATGGGCTTTGGTCTTCTCAGCCTCAGAAACTGTAAGCAATAAATTTCATTTTCTTTATAAATCACCCAGTTCAGTGTGCTTTGTTATAAGCCATAAAAACAGACTAATACATTTCCTAATTGAAATGCTATTTTATCAGGATACCAAAAATTTCCTTCCTCACATGTACCCTCTCTCTCTCTCTCTCTCTCCTCTCTCTCTCTCTCTCTCCCTCTGAGATGTATACTTACCACTTTCCATCTTTCTTTGACCAGGATTCCAACACTCAGGATATCCGGCTGCTCTCCTCCCCCACTCATTGCAATACACTGATATGGTGAACAGCTAGCTACACAGGATTCCAGCTCCCAAGGATGGTTTCCATTTAACCTAAAACAAAAGAAATAGCAGCAACATATAAGGGCTAACTAATTAACAGAAATAACATTCCAGCTCCAAGAAGCACTACTAATCCTATATATTAATTAGGTTGCTGTCTTGGAAAAGAGGGGGAAAAAATCCACAAGCTTTCCAAAAACTGTTTAATGCATATAAAAAAAGCAAATATCTTTCCATTACAGATGCCAAATGAGATAGCTAGACTTTATAAAAATATCAAAAAACAGAAATTATTTACATTAACTGAGATTGCTAGACTATAGGGTGTCAATGGCACTTGACCCAGACTGACCACTATTTTGAGTACAACATACTGCTGAAGAAAAAGACATGATAACTAATTTACAACAGCATATAGTTTAATAGGTTGTAACTTAGATCTTAACATCATTAGAGCTAACAATATTTTAATATTACAAAATGCACTTAAAATGCATAGGAAATAAACAAACACAAAAACAGGCTATTGATCAATCCTGATACAATCACATTGTAAGAAAAAGAGGATAATTGTAAAATGGGCTGGCCAGTTAAGCTCAGTTAAGTTAGAGCATGGTACTGACAACACCAAGGTCTGGGATTCAATCCCTGTACCCACCAGCTGCCCCCCCCCCAAAAAAAAAAAAAAAAGATATAAAATGAATAGCATACCTGTAGAAAATGAAGATACAGCAGAAAAATATGGCCTAAAGGAGATGAAAACTGTAACCTAGTCCAGGAACAAGAGATACATTGATAGAGTCATTTTCAGGATATATTGTTCAGTGAAAAAAAGCAAGATGCAGCAAAGGGTTTACAGTATGCTACCTTTTGTGTAAAAGGGAGGTATATGTTGAGTATATGTAAATATTGGCTTTTCTTTTTATTTATTTATTTTTGGTGGCTGGCTGGTACAAGGATCAAACTCTGGACTTTGGTGTTAGCAGCATCACACACTAACCAACTGGGCTAATCGGCCAGCCCCTTGCTTTTATTATTAAAAAAAAGAAAGGAAAAGAAAAAAGGGAGTATAAGCTAAAAAGTGATGGAAATTATTCTCCATAGCAGCACAGTTCAGCATATTTTTTTAGTAAAGGGCTATTTAGGCTTTGCAGGCCATATATTCTATTCAACTCATGCATTCTACTCAACTTTGCCTGTGGAGCACAAAAGAAGCCATAGATAATATGCAAACGAATGAGTGGGGCTATGTTCCAAAAAAATTTTATTTACAAAATAAAAAGTACTTGTACTTGGCCAAATTTGGCCTGCAGCCTGTTGTTTACCAACCTTTATTCATTAGAAAGGAAAAGAGGATGGAGCGGATAAGGATGAAGCCAGACTTCTGTGACTACCTGTGACATAGTTTTGATTTTGGAACCATGTAAATGTTTTACATAAGACAAAAATGTTGTCTGTACTCCAAATTCAAGAAAGGACCATAGTAACAAGTAATCATCAGAACTGGCTTTAAACTCATCCTGGTCTATTAATGATAGCTATGTATGAGTGATCCACTTCAGAAAGTCAACCAATCAATAACAGCCATGCTTCATAATCATATTTGTATAACAAAAGATAAGCCAATTGGGCCGGCCCGGTGGCGCACTGCGCTAATGCGCCACTTGGGAAGCGCGGAGGCGCTCCCGCCGAGGGTTCGGATCCCACATACAGACGGGTTCCTGCTCACTGGCTGGGCGAGGCGCAGGGGCAGCACTGAGGGTTGCGATCCCGTTGCCGGTCCCGGTCCGGTGCGGGGGCGACACTG